TCTTCACTGATCTGTTGTAATTTTATTAAGGATTTATCTATATTTACTTTATACAGTGAAGACTATGCAGAATTATTTTACATTTGATTACTTTCTGTACCTAATCTAATTAATCTGTATCTAACTAACTACTGTTAGATCTACCTGAAAAACACTAAATCGTCGTTCTATAGACCATTTTGCAAGATGTAAATGACACTGGTCCAGAAGCACTTCCTGTTTCAGTTTTAACACTACATAAAAGCTGGGATAAAATACAACCAATAGAACATATAAAACTGAATCAAAAAGTTAAACAAACATCTTTAAGATGTTTTCTTTACACGTGAAATAAAGAAAACAGTTACAAACTGAAACAGGAAGTGTTTCTGGACCAGTGTTGTTTACATCTTGCAAAATGGTCTATTGTGTTTAGTTGTGCTATTGCTTGTAGTTTGATTTTTTGTTCTTTTTTTATTAAAGACTGTTTACTTCTACTTAATAATGTTTGAAATGTATATTTTATATGTATATAGAATTTTTTTTTTTTTTATTTCATGTAAAAAGTCTGGCGAGTGAAATAAAATGGTGACTCAAACTGCACTGTGTCCGTAGAGGGTGTCATTAATGTTAGTTCAATGTCATTAATGTCTTTAACCTGGCGGTGCTCTTGACCAAAGCTGTCATCCATTAGTTAAAAGCATGCGGTTTTCTCTTGAATTGCTCTACCTGTGGCTTGTCCTTCCTTTCAGGCTTGCCTTTAAACTTAGCAACTAAAGTCTCCGCTCGCTCTTGAATGCTAGGGATATGTATGCACTCTGGCTTGTCCACATTATGCGGGTTATCTTCCTGTAAAAAGAGGCTGATGAAAGCACAAACTCTTGCTTGAGTTTAATACATCATTGTAATTGTAAATGTGTAGTTTTAAAACTGAAAGCTATCAAATGAAGCTCTTGAAATTCCAAAAACATTGTAAAAGAAAAATATAGCAGGTGTTTATTCCACAAAATAAGTTAAGAGTAGTTCTCCACACACAAATGCATGCAAGCTATCAAAGATGTAACAGAATTTCAAAAGTGACAATGTTTTTAGAAAAGCCCCATGCAGTTTTCAAGGTTACCCTGTAACAGACTGAAAAGTCCTGGATTGCATTCGTTTCATCACTTCCGCCATTACACTTGTTTATCTCTGAATGGTGAATATTATGCTGCAGATAACAAACAGAAATCAGTTCCACCATCATTAGATAGAGTATCTCAGACTAAACTATTAAACAACCCTATCTTTCTAAAACAAAAATTAAACAAATGCATGATGATCCATTCCACCACTGGAAAAGCTGCATGACACGGAGGAGCTGCATTTTCACTTGATCACTTGCATTTATTTCTGATAAGACTGCACTTTCTACTATCTCTAGGGTGACCACCCGTCCCGGGTAGCGCGTGCGCGCACAGCGTTTGAAGCCCAATTCATGCGTCCCGCAAATTGAGACCGTGTCACGCATAATCAATGCTTGCTCAAAAAAAAAAAAAAAAAAAAAAAAAAAAGTCGGTCAGTCTATATCCTCGAGACCCAGGCTGCCAAACGTTGTGCCTGAACTCGTTCACGTTCATGAACTCGTTCATATTGTGGGTGAACTGAACGTATTGTTTTACTGCCTGTCCTGATTAACGTGTGAACTCGTTCATTCTGGTGTCACGCACGTTCTCTCAGTTTAACTTCGTTCAATGGGGTGCCAGATTTCTATAGAGCCTTCCAGGCGAAAGCCCGGCTAAACCTCAACGTAAACAGGGCTTAATATGTAGCGAAAAAAAACACCCAATCTGGCAACACAAGCCACCAGTGTCGCACCGCGGCCGCCGTCGACAAAGGCGTCATATGATAATTTAAACGGATTTTATAACGAGGTCGGTGAAGATGGGAACAATCTTACATTTCTGTGCAAACTTTGAACTGAACTAGTTCATTTTAAAATGTGTGAACTAAACTTTGAACTAGTTCAGAAAGTGAGAACTTCCCCAAGACCATAGACATATGTCTATGCCCCAAGACTGGTTGCCACTCCCACGTGACCTGCTGACTAGGTTGATGTCAACTTTTTCATTGTTGTCATGACAGCACACCTTGTCGTTCCGTGAACCTCTGGAGTTGTGAGTTTAGACTTTTTTTCGACTTTTTTTAAAACTGTTCCTGTGGTGTTGAGGAACTATAATTCCTGTTAATCCTATAATTTTATATTTTTATTTATTTAAAGTGAATTAATTGTAATGAAAAATAAATCAAATTAAATAGCTAAAGTAAATCGTGAGTGGAAGTGCATCTGTCAATTCATTGAATGTTCAAAATATTCATTTTATTTAGAAAAAAAAAAAATACACATTGGTTGGCCTATTCATGAGAATATATCAGCAATTACAGATGTTTAGGGAATAGGGCATTATTAATGTATGTGCTAAGGTATGTGCTTTTTTTTTTTTTTTTTTTTTTTAACAATTATTCATGTACAAACAGTAAGGCAATAGTAACAATTCTAGATAGGGGTAAACCACTATAAGAGTCTTCCCGTGGGATGGGGGCACCGCCGCGCCAAGCAGTGTCCCACATTGTCCCTCAGAAACATACCCCTTGTCCCCCCTTGGGTTTATTAGCAGGTGGTCACCCTAACTATCTCGGTCTCCATGAACTGGAGCGCGTCACAAAAACTCAGCGTATTACTTGCCTTCAATGAACTACAAGTCGACTAGAAAAATCTTTGGTTGAGGCTGCCCTAATAATAATAATAATAAAAAATGTGAAATTAGTCACATCATATTATTAGCCAAGCGATTATCAATTGTAATTTTAAGGAACATAATCAAACATATATTTTAGCCATTGTTGACGAACTACAGTGTCCGAACACAGAAGACCTGACAGCTTCGACAAAACCGCAGAAATATGGCCATGCCCCCTTTTTTGCATATTCCATGTAAATGTATGGGTTAGTTCCGTATAAAACCCGGGAAGTATCTCGTTGTCCCATTTGAGTCGTTTTTGAAGGCAATAAAACTTCCTGATTTTTAAAAGACGGTATCTCTGCTAACGTTGAACTTTCAGAACAGCAACATTACACACTATTTAAAATGAAAAAAGTGAAATTACAATCCAGCATCCCTTTAAAACCTACAAAAAGCTCATCTCACGAGACTGCACAAGGAGAAAACCAGCCCCTGTGAGAGATGCTGAGGTTAGTACCGGATGACAGGAGTGTGTCACCTGTGTGTGTGGAAGAAACGATGAAGAGGAGGAGGAAGATGAGGGTGAGGAAGAAGAAAGGAGAATGGTTTTCTTAGGGCAGCTCCTCAAGACCTCAGTCCCGCTGCTGGCCTTCAGAGAGACAAGAGGAGAAACCCGTTCACATAATATTTCACAAATGCAAAACCTCTCACACATTCCTCAGACAGAAGAATGAAAAAAAAACCAACAACCTGAAAATACCATCCAAACATCCAATCAACTACTACACACAAACACAACCAAAGTGACGAGTGACAGGAATGTTGTGTTAGAAAACAAACAGTGAGCCATTAAAGCAGAAAAACACAGCTGATAATCAAACCAGACTTTAGTAACATTTAACAAACACAGACCTCCCATGCACATGGAATGTCTGACAAAGCTATCAAAACCACATCTAAATCTTGACAATCTGAGAATGAGAAATATCAAAGCGTATGGCTCATTCGTCTCAATCAAACTGGAAACGAAAACAAAGAACACCAAAGTACAGTGTGGAAAGATATGCCTCTAGGTCTCCAATACATGAGCATACCTAGTCAAACAGGAAACTAACAACAACAGACAAGTACACAGAGGGATAAATGATCTCCTTGTGAGTCTATCATCTTGGTTACTACATTTGGAGACACAGGGAGGGACACAGGAGACACTATATTGTAAACTTAAAAGCAGGGTGTCTTTTCTACAGCTTTGTACCTGCTCCTGTTTGAAGAGGAGAGTTTGACACTTCAGCCTTTCCTTATAGCGGAAACTCATTTGCTCCTGTAACTGTGTGCGCCTCTGAATACACATAAACATGAATTCAAGGTACACATCATGCTTTCCTCTCATTCACACACGCTTTCAGTTTGGGAACTGTTCTATCATTAAAACAAATAAAAATACCAAACCAATAAAGCTACATTACCATTCAAAAGTTTGGGGTCAATAAGATTTTTTTTTTTTTTTAAAGTAGTATTTTTATTTAGCAAGGATTGCTAAACTGATTAAAAGTTTAAGTAAAGACCGTTATCATGTTAGAATTGTATAAATATTGTTCTTTTGAACTTTCTATTCATAAAAGAATTATTAAAAAAATGCATCATAGTTTCTACAAAAATATACAAGTACAACCATTCTAAACACTGAGTGATAATATTAATAAATGCTTCCTGAGCACAAAATCAGCATGTTAGAATACTATATGACGGATCAAAATTCAGCTTTACAGTCATAGGAATAAATTAGTTAAAGGATGGCTAGACGGAAAGAGCAAGCTTTGGTCAGCATTAGAGACTTTAAAAAAAAAAAAACCTTAAAATCAAACTGACCCCAAACTTTACACCAGTGGTGTAATTATGTTTTGACGCAAAAAAATCAGCTATGAGAGAGGAAGGATGATATATTTTCGATGACTGATTGACTGATACCAACAATAATTCATGAAACTCGAGCAGAATGTCACATTAATTTGGTATATGTAAAGAGTTTTACAAATGATTTACAATTTACACAAGATTGGTCACATGTTTGACCTCAATTTTATCTTTTTAAGTCTTTTTGACCTACATTTTTTCATGTCAAATATAAGATCTATAAGGCTACATCAACTCAAAAAGACAAGAAACGTGCTTTTGAAAAAGCATTTAGATTAAATGAGGAAAAATGGACATGCGAGACACATTTCAACAAAACTGACTAACAATACAACCATTGTTAGTAATGTTAATGGGAATCTGGGAATGTACTACACTCTTTACCTTCCTCCATGCAGGGACTGAAGCCAGCCGCACTGACTCTTTCAGAGAGGGGGTGGGCAGAGATGGGGTCAGCAGGAGCCCCAGATTAGGCATAGAGTCCCCCTGTGACCATCAGCACGTACATGATGGGTGAAGTGACCAATGAAAAGTGGGAATGTGCCAAAGCCATTAACATCCATAGGATTGAGGAAAGAGAACGGAAAAGAACAGAAATGAGAAATAAAGACAGGAATGCACATACAAGCTGTAAGTAAATGAATTTACTGCAGAAAAAACACCTGTAATGTGCCATGCATGAATAAAATGTAAAGGAAAAAACATGCAACCAGGTTGTGTTTCAAACTAACAGTTTTCATGCAGGAAGTAGGAAATGGATGATTGAGCAGATATACAAATGAACCATTCCATGCATGAGACCACAGACACATCGCAAAACAAGTCGCATATGCTCAATGCTGTATTTATTTAATCAGAAAACATGATTGTTTGTGTTAATAAATGTTAACATACAGTATACACTCACCGGCCACTTTATTAGGTACACCTGTCCAACTGCTCGTTAACACTTAATTTCTAAGCAGCCAATCACATGGCGGCAACTCAGTGCATTTAGGCATGTAGACATGGTCAAGACAATCTCCTGCAGTTCAAACCGAGCATCAGTATGGGGAAGAAAGGTGATTTGAGTGACTTTGAACGTGGCATGATTGTTGGTGCCAGAAGGGCTGGTCTGAGTATTTCAGAAACTGCTAATCTACTGGGATTTTCACGCACAACCATCTCTAGGGTTTACAGAGAATGGTCCGAAAAAGAAAAAACATCCAGTGAGCGGCAGTTCTGTGGGCGGAAATGCCTTGTTGATGCCAGAGGTCAGAGGAGAATGGCCAGACTGGTTCGAGCTGATAGAAGGGCAACAGTGACTCAAATAACCACCCGTTACAACCAAGGTGGGCAGAAGAGCATCTCTGAACGCACAGTACGTCGAACTTTGAGGCAGATGGGCTACAGCAGCAGAAGACCCCACCGGGTGCCACTCCTTTCAGCTAAGAACAGGAAACTGAGGCTACAATTTGCACAAGCTCATCGAAATTGGACAATAGAAGATTGGAAAAACGTTGCCTGGTCTGATGAGTCTCGATTTCTGCTGCGACATTCGGATGGTAGGGTCAGAATTTGGCGTCTACAACATGAAAGCATGGATCCATCCTGCCTTGTATCAACGGTTCAGGCTGGTGGTGGTGGTGTCATGGTGTGGGGAATATTTTCTTGCCACTCTTTGGGCCCCTTGGTACCAATTGAGCATCATTGCAACGCCACAGCCTACCTGAGTATTGTTGCTGACCATGTCCATCCCTTTATGACCACAATGTACCCAACTTCTGATGGCTACTTTCAGCAGGATAATGCGCCATGTCATAAAGCTGGAATCATCTCAGACTGGTTTCTTGAACATGACAATGAGTTCGCTGTACTCAAATGGCCTCCACAGTCACCAGATCTCAATCCAACAGAGCATCTTTGGGATGTGGTGGAACGGGAGATTCGCATCATGGATGTGCAGCCGACAAATCTGCGGCAACTGTGTGATGCCATCATGTCAATATGGACCAAACTCCCTGAGGAATGCTTCCAGCACCTTGTTGAATCTATGCCACGAAGAATTGAGGCAGTTCTGAAGGCAAAAGGGGGTCCAACCCGTTACTAACATGGGGTACCTAATAAAGTGGCCGGTGAGTGTATATTAACATTTACTGTCATGTTTGATCAATGGAATGCAATCTTGCTAAATAACAGTACTAATTAAAAAAAAACAAAACAAAAAAAATCTTACACTACTGTTCATAAGTTTTGGGCTCAGTGTACAGATAACACTTATCTTGCAAAGCTCCATGAGATAACAGAGTTATCAACCCCGCACGGATCCAGAGCACAAAGGGTTTAGCTTCCTATAAAAAGCTCCCAAATCCTCTCTCATGCCAGTCATTCCTGCTGGACACTCCATCAGAATGAACCAGAGCATGAATTCTATCAATTCTCATCTATAAACCTGATCATTTCAAACTATCTCAGCATGCAGAGCACTTCTAGCAGTAAGCAGTTTTGGACAAAATTCTTTCCTTTGTTTAAACAACCCTCATAACAACATGGGTTTAAGAGTTTTGTGCTGCCCACAAAAATAAAATCGCTCAAATAGCATTGCAAAAGCAATGCTGATCTACAACGGGATATTCGGGATAATGGGATTTTTGGATTGTCTCCTGAGGCCACAGGAGGGCGCAATGAGCAAAATATGAATTCAACACATGAAATTGAGAATGAAACGCATAACGGAATGTACAAAAAAAGCTTTATAACTTTTAACTAATTTTGAGTCAAATATAATTTTGTAAATTCCATTAACAATTATGAACAAAAAAGCATCATGTATTTATGTATAGTTTAATACAAAGAGCCAAAGCTCAGATCACACAGAGTACTTTTTACATATAAAAATATGATGCAGTGGAATGGAGGAAAAAACCCACAGTTTTAACTTTTACATGGCTTTCTAAAAATGTGTCTCTCTGTTGCAAGATGAGAATGCAAGTGTCCATCTAGCACTTGTTTACATAGAAAAACAAGTGTGTTCTGTGTGAACGGCTTGGTTGCGGTGTTGACAAAGATCTCCGCATTCAGCTTCTCTATTTCTGCAATGTTTTGAATGAAAAACTCATGAGCGCCACATCAAGTGGGCTCAACTGGATAGGCTAAAAAAAAAAAGCATTCAAACGCGACGTCTCTTACATCATCTCGCGCACCACTGATAAGGTGGCCTTACACACATCTAAAATTTGAATGCACCTTTTTTTTGCTGCATTAGAATGTAATTTTTTATTTTAAATATAATCAGCAAATATTCAAAATTCTAATTTTATTTTGACAGCCCAACATGATATTTAATAAATAGTCATTTTAGGCAGCAGCTTCAACCCACCTGTCTTTTGAGTCCAGTAGACTGTGTTGGTGCGTTCTCCTCAAACTTCGCTAGCAGCTGCGTGGCCATTGACTTCACTTTGTTGTTGTTGTTTGCTGCTGCAGCCGAGTCAATTTTACGTTCTGCCAGAGCTGTAGCTATAGAGGGCCTTTCGTCTCGATTAACCCTCTGCAGCTCTTCCTGAGATGTTGGAAAGACGGAGTGAAAAGATTTAGATAAGTACATACACAAGGCAATATGCTGCAAATACATTGATCCAGTAAATTATGGCCTTACATCCTCTGACTGTCCAGTCTGGCTGGTCTTTCGTCTTTTCCCAAGTACATCAAGTTCCTTTTCTTTTTTATCCTATGTAAGATTTGAAAAAAGAAACAGTGAATGCTGAGATTACAATAACAAACCAGCAAACTCACAAGTGGTGAGAAAGGAGACATGTTTACAAATTAAATCCTTGTAGGAGAACATTTGTGTGATTTTAATATGTAAATTAAGCAGCCTGGTGCACTCTGAAAAGAAAATAAACGGAAAAGTTTATTTGCACATTTGCAAAAAAAAAAAAAAAAAAAAAATTGACACTATTGGGCATTGACACGATTTCAATTCAGTTTGATTCGATATAGTTAATTTGTGGCCGATCATGTACAGTACATAGCAAATTTCCTCAAATAATAATAATGATAAAAAAATCTCTCAACTAATGCTGGAAACTACAGAGAGAACCACAGATGGTACATCAATATAATATTAAAGGTTCAAATTAATTGATTTGCAAGCTACTTAAATTACACAGAAGGAACTTTTTACATTAACATTATAATACATTTTCAACTAAATAATGATGTTTTACATGTTTTTTTACATACACATTAAAATGGTGGACTTATTCAAACATGAAATATTGAAGAACCAGTTAAAGTAAAAAAACAGTGAATATGCAATATAGTGCAAATATTTAGCATAATGCTCTGCTCTAAGTTGTTTTTTCTAACAAGAGTTTTTGTACATTGAATGGCTTTTCTGAGGCAAATGTGATGTAGATTGTTTACATGCAGTGACGTTGTTCTGCGGTTGAAAAACTGAGAGATTACATGTTTCGGTAAGCTGTACCATATCTTTCAACATACCTTCTGATGTACATTCATATTTATTTTGTGCAGTAAAGTGGAAGAAATGATTGGTTCACGTAAGCTCCACGCTGCTTGCTTGAACTGAGGCACGCCACATTAAATAAAGAGCACCAAAAAAGATTGCGAAAGCTGGTGAGACATCCATGGTCTCTCACTCCTGTCTATGGAAAATTAGCCCATTTCTAATTAGTATTGTGTGGTTTATTGTACTTGCAATTTCCGGGAAAAAACAAAAACAAAAAAACATCAGATCTTCTTTATTCACATAAATTACATTGATTAAAAACGGCAAATTTTGCCGAAAAGCAACTAGTTTGCAGGTATGCAATAATCAAATAATTATGCAGGATCAAAAAGAAACTTGACTACCTTGGGGTTTCGTTTGCGTGAGATGGCGATGCTTTGACCCAGTTTACTGAGGAATGAGATGGGTGATTTAGTGCTGGCAATTAACGCAGCCTTCTCCTCAGGGCTCAGATTGTGGTTTTCTGAATGAAAAAATAAATAAATAAAAATAATTATAAACCACAACAATACATCAAGGAATTGCATGCTAGGAAGAAGCATAATTATTAGCATAACATTAACATTCCTTTTTGTTTTTACAATTTTCTCTGGATGCAATATTATAGAACAATAACTCACCACCAGGTGGCACAGTGTCCTTGAACATTTCATAGAACTGGCTGAGGTACATCACCATGGACAGCTTGTCAGGCTCCACCACACCAGACATCTCCTTCCCGGTCATGATGGGAGAAATTCCAAACTCCTTTTCAGCCACGTCAAACGCCATCTGGTTGTTCTTCTCCACGTCTTTCTCATCCAGCGAGTCAAAGTCACTATAATTATAAAACATCACAACTGAGAAACATCTCCAAACACCACAATCATGTTCATAAGCAAGTTGTTAGACTGTGCACAAGTGCTAAAAAGTTACTTAAAACTACTGAAACAAGAAAGAACAGAATCAGAAAGCAGATTAACTTTTTTTTTTTTATCATACAGGTCACAAGAACATCTACTAAATATTATTTTCAAGGGCTGTTAACACTGACGGTGAATCAGTTGCAGGAGATTGTCAAGTAAGTATAGTCGATATTACTTGGTTGCTGCATCCAACACATGTGGTTCACTGTATGGAGTCCAACTGTCGACAGCATTGTTAAATCAAAAACTTTAGGCAAAGACGGTGAACTAATATTACCATAAATGGGAGAAAGTAAAACGCATTATATGGCAGAATAAATATAAAAGCCAATTGGCAGTAGGTAAAGTCATTGCGTCTGCCTTTTGAAGCTCCGGTTGCTATAGATATTTGATGTTTCCCCATTTAAAGAGATAGGAGCTGTTCTTGCATGACTGGAATAGCTGCCTGAGAGTCATTTCAAAGATGGCCGCCAGGTGAAATGACTTGCCTTACAGGGACTTTGGTTAAACTGTGAAGATGAATCTGCATTTGCTGCATTCCCAACAGTCTTTATAGATTATACTGTGTCAAAATGGCAAATGTCATTCAAACTGTTAGAATGAACGCTTGAACAGAACTCCTACTTTAAAAGTGATCATTTGAAAACATCCACATCAAACCATCAAACTGACATACCATTCAAATTTTGGGGTCAGTCAGAAAATTAGTCCGCAAGGACACATTCAATTAAACAAAACTGACATAACGTTACAAAAGATTTTCATTTAAAATAAATATGGTTGAAAATACTGTAAACAGAAGGGGGAAAAGTGGTTTTCAATACTAGCCAGCAACTGTTTTCAAAATTGCTGATTTGTTGCTCAGGAAACATTCAGGGACAACAACATGCTCAGGGATCATGTGACACTAAAGACTAGAGTAATGGCTGCTAAACATTTAGCTTAAACACCACAGGAATAAAATTGCGTCAAAATTCACAGTCTATTTTATTTTCATTATTAGATATACACTTCTTATAGTAACTATATAAAAACAGAACTAATACATTATGTCTGGAACCTGGATATACTGTAGCTAACGAGGAATGCATTTGTCGGAGTGCAGTATACTCCTCAGAGAATTCAACTAATGCTGCCTAAAAACAAAAATGCAGACTAGTTTAGCTGACTATAACAAACAGCTCATAAGCCAAAGCTTTTAAAGGTCACTCAGCATCTGCTCTAATGTAAAGCGTTATGATAATGCTAATGCTAATGTACGTCTCAAAGGCTAATGAGGCTTTCAGCTGCTCTATATAACAGACCCCAGTGAAAGAACAACTACAGTTTTTGCCCTTCTGCAACAGAGCAACTTACCCAACTGTACTTTTATTTCAGTTTGCTGTACTCTACAGATGAATATGCCAAGCAAATAAACACTACATGGTGAACAAAGCTATATATGGCTCATTAAAAGTAATGAGGTGAAGACAAATGAACTGACATCGGTGAAGAAACATTTGAGTATTATTATCAAAGACAGTGTCACTGCTGACTCATATTAAGCAAATCTGTTGAATCTTTGGCTCATTGAATCTTTTGTTTTGTGTCTAGTCTTTGATTGTGTTTTTCTCAGTCTCCCATTATAAAACAGGGATGGGTATCGAAACTGTTTTTAGACTGATTTGATTCTGATAAACAAGTTCACGATTTGATTCGATTCCAATTTTGATTCTTATTAATTTGAGTATACCTCAACAATAAATGTCCATTTTGCTTATATATATAGAAAGAAAATAGGACAGGGTTTAAAATTGATTCAACCTGGTGAATTATCTTTATAAGCTATTAATATAAAACAAATATTTATTCAGTAATTCATTTGTGAATCTGATTAAACTGGACTACATCAGTATTTTAGTATATTTGAATGTATGTGTTACACTCACCAAGGCTGAATTTTATTACAATACAAACAGTATTATTGGGAAATAATTAAAATGGCAAAAATCTTGATTTTAATACATCTTAAAATGTAATTTAATTATATGACGGTAAAACTGAATTTACGTCATATAAAGACAAACATTACAAATGTATCTGCTACTGTCACTTTTGTTCAATTTAATGCACCCTTGTTGAATAAAAGTACAAATCATTTGAATCATTGGAATCATTTGTCACGGGTATTATTCAGTTTGTGTAAGGAAAAACCTACAGTAGAGAATGCACCTTTTATGATGATAGTCCAAAGCTCAAACATACAACAAATCCTCATAACTTTCTAAAAATGTCAAACATTTTTCTTTTTAACTTTGCCTTGATCTCCTGTCTTCTCACACAGCGGGGGCACATCCTCTCAAAAATAAGTTTTGCTATTCTTTGTATGAACTGGATATCTCTGCTGCAGTGTTTGTCCTCCAGTCCTGCATCTCTAAATATAGAACCATAATAACACAGGGCATTTTTTAGGATGAGCATGTGGCATACTGCACTTACATGAGGTCTGGTCTGTATCGGTGGATTAGCGCACACAACGCCAAGCCACTCTTCCAGGACGTGGTGAGATCAGACACACTGACACCTCGGTATCCCTCCGTCTGCCTCTGACACCAGTTCAGCAGCTTACTGGAGCGAACGATGGACTCTGAAGGAAAGAAAGCAAAGTCAGTAGACGCCTCTGATGCAAGAATACGCATGTTAAAAACCGGGACCGACATCCAATCGGATCGGAGTTAGTCACATAACCAGAGCAGGGCCTGAAGAACTCTCACGGTGCATTTCGTTCCCTTTTGAGTGGTTATGAAACATTCAAGACATCGACAACACTGGCAGTAGTTCTAAGTTTGCGAATATCCACAAATATGTTAGTTCATAATGGTTTATTTCTGAAGCGCTCGAAAGACACCTTTCCATTCCATGTCAGAGTTACTCTTTTTTTATACAATAAAGTGCACAAAGCTTTTTGAAAAGCCTGTAGAATGTCATGCATTCAGATCGCCCGCAAAATTACCTTGCAATTGCTTCTCAAGCAGAACTTCTAGGAGGAGAATAAATCAAGTTATACATATTTACTTTTGACACCATCCATCATGAAGGGTGAAAAGGCTAAATAAATGTATGGAAAAACAATTCAACCACAGCTGATGGGCAATATTAATGTAATCTACCCACCATTTCTTGTGAGCTTAGGAGTTGAAGAGTTGACCACATTCTCCATGTCAACACGCAAATCCCTGGTTTCTCCGGTGTCCAACAGATGCCGTACCTACAGACAATTATAGTATTAGCGCTCATGTTTTTTTTTTTCTAACGAGGGCCACCATTATCTAAGCGATCCAATATCATTAGGGCCCAAGCCCTGAAAGGGCGAAGGCCCTATTGTTTTCCTTGCGATTATTTTTCTTCACTATTATTATAATAATTATTATTTTACTACCTTTTGGGCACTTTTGGGGCCCTTAACGTGCTCGAAAACTCTTGAAACTTTGCACACGGGTCAGAACCCGCGGCCATCAGAGCCGGGCTGAAGCTGGTACCCGGGCGTGGTAGGGCGGCTCGTCAGCGCCCCCTGGAACGGGGTCCGAACACTTGGTCCATAACTCAAACACGCTTGTATGTAATAATATGAAACTCGGTACACATGTTGATCTCATCGTTTCATCTATACCTCACACTCTTACTTTTTACCCCAGCCCAACAGGAAGTCGGCTATTGAGGTTTGTTTGTAAAACGCTCGCAATGGAATGTCATATACTCCTCCTAGAGCTTTGATCCAAATTCGACGAAACTCGGTCAGCGTGAAGTCAAGACATTGAGGATGAAAGTTTGCGAGGGGATTTTTTATATCTCGAACGGTTTGTCCGTGGCGAGGAAACGAAATCATGGCGAGAAACGTGAAACAGGAAGTGTGTTATAACTTCAGCATACATTAACTGATCTTGATGAAACTTCAGCAATGTTTTCGCTGTAAGAGGACGATCACATGGATGTGACTATTGTGAGTCAAAGTTATAGCGCCACCAACTGGCAGCAGGAAGTGTGTCACTTTCAAAATGCTTTGATATCACCCTTTTATTTTTACCCGATTTGCTTCAAACTTCATCTGTATAATGTAAACATACGGCAGATGTAGACCTGTGAATGGATTCTTGATATCTTTGAAACTGTTGCCGTGGCGACGCATCAAACTTTACCCTTCTTTTAGGATGCTTTTTGGATGCTTTTGAGACCCTTAGCATGCTTCAAATTGCATGAAACTCGACAGACGCATCACATTTATTAGCCAGTAGACATGTGCAAAGTTTCAGAAACGGGCGTGGTGAGGGCTCAGTAGCGCCACCTTTTGACAAAAGTGGGGTTGTTAGTTTTAACTAGAGTTACAAAAATTGGTATGTATATTGTACTCCTCGAGCCGGACAACTTTCTAATTGACACTTATTAGCTAGGACCCACAGAAAGTCAGATATTTTTGTTTGAATATGGCCACTCTGAGCCTACATGTCTCTGTGTCTCTGTGTCTTTGGCTGGCTGGCTGACTGGCTGGCTGTCTGTGTGTGTGTGTGTGTGTGTGTGTGCAGGGGGAGGGGGCTTAACCATTTCACTGCTGTGTGTATGACCTGCATAAAGAAAATACATTTCTCAAGCCTGGTATTTTTTAAATAAGTTTTTATTTTTATTTTTTATAAGTAAAGGCATATAACTAGTTTAATTGTAGTGAATTGACAATAGTTTTATATAATTAGTTTATTAATCAGATTAACTTGGTCAATAAACTTGGTCTGAAAATTTGGTCCATAAATCAAACACACTTGCATGTAATAATATGAAACTTGGTACACATATAGATCTCATCGTTTCATATATACTTCACACTCTTACTTTTTACCCCAGCCCAACAGGAAGTCGGCTATTTAGGGTTGTGTTTAAAACACATGCAATGGAATTTAAATTATTGCTCCTAGAGCACTGAACCAAATTTGACGAAACTCGATCAGCGTGAAGTCAAGACATTAAGGATGAAAAAGTGCCACAGGATTTTTGATATCTCGAACGGTTTGGCCGTGGCGAGGAAACGAAATTATGGCGAGAAACATGAAACAGGATGTGTGTTATAACTTCAGCATACATTAACTGATCTTGATGAAACTTCAGCAGTGTTTTCGCTGTAAGAGACCGATCACATGGATGTGACTATTGTGAGTCAAAGTTATAGCGCCACCAACTGGCAGCAGGAAGTGTGTCATTTTCAAAATGCTTTGAAATCACTCTCTTATTTTTAACCGATTTGCTTCAAACTTCATCTGTATAATGTAAATACACGGCAGATGTAGACCTGTGAATGAATTTTTGATATCTTTGATACTGTTGCCGTGGCAACGAAACAAACTTTAACATTCTTTTTTGATGCTTTTGGGACTCTTAGCATGCTTGAAATTGCTTGAAACTCAACAGATACATCACATTTATTAGCCAGTAGACATGTGCAACTATGGCAAAAGATTAAAGTAATGTGAAAAAAGTAAACACTAAAAGCCTCATATCTTCTAAAAATGTAATTATACATCATTTGTTTCTAAATTAAATTATACAAATATTATAACTTCCCCAATTTTTCCCTTTTTTCATTTAAGAATTATGTTTACGTTCAAAAACAGCCAGAATTGTTGTAAAATTCAGAAAAAAATAATAATCTGAGTCATACGTAGTGCTATACTGCCCTCTTGTGTTCAATATCAGGTAGGCCTATTGTGTATATTCCCACCGGTTAATCAACGTGTGACTCCGCTGGGACTTGGGAGCTTTTAAATCGCTTACTTAAAACCGAAAGTCAAAATACGGATGTCCGCACAAGACATTAATGGTGTGGAGTAGAGCGAGCATTTTAAATAAATTCCTATTAAGTAGGATTGAACTAAACAGAAAGAATGTTCACTCTGTTCTGCTGGTTCCTCGCTGGTGGATCATATGATTACTTTGTCATAATCTATGACAAAAATGCTATTATAAACTATATTAATAATAGATAATACACATTGCTCTTATTTTTAAAAAATACATTCATGAAAAACAAGATAACAAAAATCATAAAAAGATATAGCCATGGCTGCTATAAATGTTTGAAATGCATAGGACAGATGTTTAATGACGCAGCAACATATAATTGAAAGGCAATTAATAATCTGTCATTACGTCACTGCATTATGATATTACGGCTCTAATACGGTGCAGCACAAAGCACTTATGTGCATCCCGAGCGGAGAATGATGTGCTTGAAGCCACATGAAGTTACAGCGCATTGAGTCCGTATTGAAAAGTTCAAAGCACAAAGGAAATACATATTTATGAACAGTGTATTATACATTATCTATCTATGCAATAGTTTATTGAGCCTTTTCTTTTAAAGGTTTTAAATTTCAGTTACTGTGTGCGTGAAGAACAATTATAGTGCTCTGACTCTAGTGTTGTGATCTAACCGACAGCGTCTGACACCCGGTAGAAAGTAACACGGTTAAGTTACAGCAATAAAGTCCAGCAAGAAAAAGTTTCTTCATTCGAAAATATAGACCTTTAGACCTTTATCTTAAAGACCCAGTATAATAGGATTAACATTGAATCATCTTGAAGATCGTTTCATCATTGACTGTAACCGAATGCGACGTGCTGTTTGAATGCTGAATGGAGAATGACTGACAGGCGCAGAGAGGGAAAAGTTTACGTGTTCTTGAATTTAATGACTTAAATATTAATTTCTATATCACATAATAGCTTCAGAACACTTATAATACAGTACACAAAAACTTTATGGTACTTTAGAAAGTTTTTGTGCCTTTGTGCCTTACATAGAATAGTATATGCACAATATAGAATTTGAATCAGCCTCGTCAAAGATGGCAGTGTCAGAGCCGATACCGATCCTGAGTATCTAATCGGCGCACTTCTTTTCAACAGTCAAATTGAAATTGAAATTGCTTGAAACTCAACAGATACATCACATTTATTAGCCAGTAGACGTGCAAAGTTTCAGAAACGGGCATGGTGCAAGGACTAAATAGCGCCACCTTTTGACAAAAGTGGGGTTGTTAGTTTTATCTACAGTTACAAAAATCGGTATATACATTTTACTCCTCAAGCCGGACAACTTTCTATTGCATAGTCATTAGCTCGGACCAAGAGGAAGTCCGATATTTTGGTTTGAATATGGTGAGCCTCTCTCTGAGCCTACGTCCCTGTATGGCAAGCCCTTTTAACATTTAAAAGCTAAGTTTGCCTATCCGGAATTAACATTGTAGATATCAACAACGTCTTTCTGTCTAGTCGTAATTACATTTTGGATAGTTTGTATTATCATTTAAGATATCTGTAACATAATTTTGACTAGTCGAAATGACAGAGTATGGCAAGCCGTTTTAACATTTAATCATGAAAGGGCCAAAGCCTTCGGCACCGCCACCCGGGTGCCTTTAGGTAACTAAAGGAACCGGGGTTGCGGTGCCACCGGCTTGGGCCCGCCATCGCTGCTCGCAGCTATATTATTTATATTATATTCAATGGCGGATGCCAATACCTCGAAAGCAGGGTGGCAGATGACTGATTTAATGCCAAAATATACATTAAAAAAAGTGTAAACACAATATTTACTCAAAAGTAGGGCTGCAACAACTTATGAAAAAATAAATTATTAGTGATAATGAAACTATTCAACAACGAATTTGATTATCCATTAGTCGCAGTACTAAAAAACATTTCTTTGAACAAAACGCATATGGAAAACAGCAGAGGACACAGAGCAAGCTGCTTCCTTATCTGTAAATATCAAAGTCCCACAAGCCTTTCCATTTAGTATATTTTGACAACAAGTGTCTTGTTAAACTTCAGTGTTTAATCAATGAAAGTGGGTGGGCGCATACGCATCAAACAGACAGAGTGCATTAGAATAGGAGCATAATAATTCTCACTAAAATACACATTCTGCAAAAAAACAATAAAAAAAAAACACTCTTTTAAATTAAGTTAGGTGTAAAATTCTATATCTAACACAAGTAATAATATTTGAGAGCAGTAATCAGTAACAGTAAATGCACTTGTTGGAATAGCCCATTAATATAATATAATTACTAGGTTCAGACGAGTGAATGCATTCCTTATACAAGTCAACATTTTGTGCTTTAATTTTTTCTTATTTTTAATTGTAATTTTAATGTATGCTTCAAAATAATAAGCAATCAATTAAATTGATTTTAGGTTTAGAATGTAATGTAATCCTTTTTGCTTATGCACAGCATAGCCTACATAAGACACATTCACTATATTTGTCATCATAGGCTATATTACACATTGTTTAGAGAAAAGCATTGTGCAGGATGTGGAAAAATATTGTTTAAAAAATCTTTCTAAAATCTTCATCAACAGATTAATCGATTATCAAATTAATTGTTAGAAGCAGCCCTACTCAAAAGCCAGTAAAATAATCTGAAAATAGAAGTTATTTTTGGGGATCTGGCCAATCCAAATAAGCCTTCATTTGTTTTTATGGTATAGCCAATAAGTGATAAATGGGCAAATAAATAAATCTACAACTCAATCATTGTAAATACAAGTCAATTTATAATGTAATCATTATTATGGGATTTTTTTAATATTATATTTAAGTGTTAATTATTAAAATATATATTTAACACAAATTATAAACATATACACATTTTAAATATTAACTTTAAAAGAGTGGCAAATGTGAAATAAGAGGACAAATGCTCATTCAAAACAAAGGGTGTGTTCACACTTGGCATGTTTGGCTCAATTAAAACGAACCCTGGTGCGATTGTTCATTTGTGAATACTGCCATCCAAACCCTGGTGTGCACCAAATTGAAAAGATTGGTCTCGGTTCCTCTTCTAAACGAACTCTAGTGTGGTGCGACGGAAATATGAACGCAACACAGACCAAAGACAAGTGAATGAACCAAAAACAGAAGGACAAGACCCTACAAAGGACAGAATCCTCATGCATATTGTGTGTGTTTTGACTACTTTACAAAACTACTTTACGTTCAAAATACCATAATATGCAGGCTACGCACACACAAATGCAACGAGTGCATTTATCCCAGCACACAGCATTGTTTTGAATGTTCGGTAAGTTCCGTCTTAAAACAGGCAATACGTCATCAAAGCCGACCAATCGGGTTGTGAACACAAATCCCTATGCGTTTTTTTGTTCTGTGATAAAAATGCCAATCTAAAGGCTGATCGGACCAGAACTAAATTATTATTTTTTTGGCTCGGACCAAACGAAGTGTGAAGACACCATAAATATCCAAAACCGATTCTATTTATCCAACTACAACTGACACAAATCAAAATAAATAAATAAATATGATGGCAAATTTGCCAATATATTAAACAGCTCTATTATCCATTGCCAAAACCTGTCAGCAATTTTTTTAAACTGACAATGTATGTGATCTTTGGATGATGGCGACAATCTTAAAATGGACAAATATCGAATAGTACAGTATGTTGGTTTAAAACTAGACTGATGGGTCAACTGTGCAAAAACCCACCTGATTGGGTCTCACTTGGTGAAGGCTGATGTTGGGGTACCGTGTAGCTGGGTCAACGCTGTAGTGGCTATAGTTCTTACTCACATTCTCTGGTGTCGTCTGTGGAAGCAGCCGATAGATACTTTCCCTGAAACCCAAGGGGAGCAGTGGTCATGATTACTACACACCATGATATCAGACCCAAATTCCCTTAATCTTGGCATTAGTCCCATTAGTGATGATGTCTGAAGATATATGAAGAGTTCAGATGCAAAAGCCTCTAAGTGCCATTTGAAATTTTCTTCTAAAATTATCATTTTTATCAAGCTTGTATATTTAAGTTCAGTAATTTCACTTAAATGGCAATGAAGATTACCTATTAATTGTGATTTAAGTGAAATTACTGAACTTAAATACACAAGCTTGATAAAAATGGTCATTCTAGAACAAAATTTCAAATGGCACTTAGAGGCTTTTGCATCTTAACTCTTCATATAGACCCTAGAGGCAACTCGCTCGTAACACTTTCGCTTCCCCACAAATATGCTGCTTATTGCATACAAGTAGAAAAGTGCTTTACCACTGTGCAGTATACTTACCCTGCAGTATGCAGCAAAATAACAGTGCAGTGAGAAAAGTAACAGTAAATGACAGTCTGTGAGGGTTTGAGCTGTTTACTGCTCAGTTTGAAGACACAATCCCTGTCAACCTAATTATAAGTGCTCTGCAGCACCAGTATATCACTCTGGGTGTTTTGGTATGTCATAACATCATATTAATCATACTTAGGGGTGTCCATGGTTAACCGTTTAAAATTGCATAACCGAGTGAAAACTTTTTGCTCGGTTAAGTGGCATCAATACATATTTGCACAAAACTTTTGCGATTTTTTTTTTTCTGAATGTCGATAAAAAAATATTGTGAAATGACGGCGTTTCCATTAATGATGTGACTAAAACATCTTTTTTTTCCTTTCGCGATTAGTCATTCCAAAAATAATGGCAACGGACGTTGGTAAGCTACATCACAGCCACCGCACTATGGAAGGAGACGTGGTGGGTTATCCAAGCATTAATGGCAGGGAAAGACACAGAGTTCCTGGGTGTTTTTCCCTCATTTCTGCTCCGAGGTCTTGATTGTGGCATTTCTTTGAGGTTTTGTCCAGTAGGCCATTCCTTGTTTATTTTATGAATTTAAAAAAGAACTCTGCCTCGTATTATGTCCAAACGGTCAGTGTACTTTTGTGTTCATTCGTTTCCCCTTATTTAATCCTTAGGCCTAATTGCAAAACGAAAAATAAATGGTTGTTGTATTTTTTAAAACGCATAGTTGAACACCAAAATGTTCATTTGAACTGTAAGCCAAATGCTGTGCAAAAGTATATATATATATATATATATATATATATAGACGAATTTTCAGATATTTGTTTGATTTTTTGCCCCTTTAAACATTTAAAATATTTGACTAATTAATATGTAAAAAAAAAATAGATTTTACTGGTTTTATGAGGCCAAATTAGAACCTGGAAATGATATTTTCCCCGCAGTGCTGAATGAGAAGAGCCGTAACCACAGCCTACAGAAAGGGGATTTATAGGTGATTTATAGGCTATAATAAATGTGTCTGAAAAAATAACGAGGCATTAATTGTTTGTTAATAAACTATTGTTTTCTAAATCAGTTTTGGCTAAAAACATCTCCATCTCCGGATGCACCTTTAGAGAGAAATACATAATTAGCTGCATAATTGCATAGTCAGAAGATATTAGCTTTCGATTCGAATTTGTTCGTTTTAAATTGGACATTTAAAGCTTTAGTCTACAAAGGATAAACGAACAAATTCGAATGCGGTGGCTGTTTCAGTTCTCGCGCTACCGTTCACAGAGATCAAGAAGCGTGCCTGATTGTTTCATTTATTTTGCAAAAGCACAACGTTTTCTTGTTATTGTGAGTTTACGCAAATAAACGTATTTGCGAATAATGTATTATTATTTTCTGTATGACCAGAAATGAAAGAGTATTTTAAGTTGTTTCCACTGAAAGGAAACTGCAAGTGTTTTCATGGGTGTCTCGCAGCCATCAGTGCGCGCTCCACACTCCGCGCACACACTGGATATGCGTCAAAATATTGTGTTTATTTGTGCTTTGTTCCTTTTTTGAATAAAGGCGTCTTCTACATATGCAGCCTAATAAAATGTTACAATAATGATGATTATTATTATTATTATTTGCGGACACGAACCCAAAACACACAAAATGTCGCATTGCAATTTTGTGAAATATACTTTTTTCGAATTGTGGAGTTTTTGCGAAATGGACGTGTTTCTAATGTGCATATTTTCAATTGGCAATTTCAGTTTGAAGGGTGATGGAAACGCACCTACTATAACTGCTCTGTACTTACCACTGCGTTTTATTTCTATAAATTAATTTCGTTTCAAATGGGGTCCAACCAGTTAGGTGTTAAAAATTAACTCCATATCTCGAGGTTGCGGCGCGCACACTATGCTTAGCCGAGTATTAGCCGCTAAGGGCCTCGGTTAACGGTTAATGAAAAACTTTAAAACGTGCAGCCCTAATCATACTATTTTTATAGTATGCAGTAAAAGCTTTTATGATATTCAACATCCCTATTTGTGTATGTACACTAAAATGGTGTAAAATGTGACTTGCTTTCAGAGGAATCATCATTTTAACCACAGTCACATTTTCACAATGTTTTCCCTATCAGGCTGGAAAAATGTTATGCAATTGTGTTCCCCACTTTTTGTAATCCATTTACAGCCCTAACTTTTAATATATAAAAAGTGCCAAATGAGGACCCCAGCACACTGCACGAGATTACATGATAATGAATACATGATTTCTCACAATGCAATAAATTGGCCTAGACCTTTCATTTCCAGAGTGAAGCAGAGTGAATGTAGCTATAAACAGTAAATTTTATCTGCTTCTCATTATTTGCACAGACTGTCAAAAGTTAAATTCTGACACATCGAATTAATATGCAAAAGTAGCATATATTCCCAATATTACAATGCAATGTGATTTGCTGAATAAAACTGAATAGTGAGGTCATGTGACAACCAAAGAACTTCATGAACTCATGAAACCATGAATATGCAAATTGATCCCCTCCTCCACTCAATATCACCTGATCAGACTACCTCATCCACTCAGTTAACTTTACTGTAGTAAACCCTACAAAATTGCAAGTGGAAATATTGGTTAAATTCAGCCTTATACGTATGAACCAGAAAATGATTCAGAAGAAGAAGAAGACGAAGAGTGAATCATACAGGGTCGTTGACAAGTCGATGTATCAAAATGGTAATACATTATGCATCACTCTCTACAACATCGGACACTAACCGGTTTTTGAAAAGATAAGCCTCTGGCTCGAGCGCTCGACTATATTATCTAACTGCTAACAATGTGTTTCTTACGTTATACAGACCATGTTCCCATTGATCATCTCAGATCAATAACATTGTAATATACATCATATACCAGCTATATTGCATTATAAACACAATTTTCCTGTCCCTTCTTATAGGTGTTCTTGTGCTCACTGCGGAAAAGCCCCACCCGCACGTTAACCGGATTGGTTACATATTTGTGATGTAGAAAACAGGGGTGGTTTGAAACCATGTTTTTGAGAATGTCTTTGGTACACTGCAGTTTTGAAGAGAAAGTACTCATCAATTATGTTGTTTACTGATGAATTTGCACATGGTTGTCTAAAAGCATATTAAAACACCACATAGACATACAACACCATTACAAACTTGATTTTCACCACAGGAGAGTTTTATATGGTTGTCTGTACAGCATGCTGTAAGCAGAGCAGACCACTTGCTTTCTGTTCTGAACATAAAATCGGTCTTACCGTTCAGCCAGGACCTCCAGGGGGGTGTTTCCATTAGCCCAACTACGCACCATCCACGCTGCATCCATGCCTGCCAAGAAACCTCTTGCTATTCCAGTGCCCATTGGCCAAAATGGCTATACACAAAAAAAACACCACATTTCCGTCAGTCAACTTGTTCCTCCTACACTAAGTGTGATAAATGAGTGGCTGTAAAATTCATATTAGAAATCAGTCACCTTCTGTTTGGAATATAATGGAAAAATTACCCTCACAGCTGCAGTCTAGATAGTTTAACTGTGTGTGTTGTTTTACAGTAATGCTTTCATTACCACAGATTCTACATGAGAAAATGTCTCACAGATTTATGTGAGAAAATGTATTTTCAGAAGTTGAAATTTGCCAAAGGAAGCCATGATTGGAGAAGAGCAAAAGCCGATTTTGTGGTACTTCATGGAACAACAATATCTGGTTCTATTAAAGTAGGTTCTAACAAATAACAAACTACCTTTCAAAATAGTCTTATTTCTCTCCACCATGTGGGTTTTCTACACACCTCTAGAAGGCTGTCCCCCACCAGGGCTACTAGCAACTTATGGCCGTTGCGCTGGCGGACAAGCGCTGCATTTTCAGAGGCATACATGCAGGTGAAATCAAACATGGCGACATCAGGTTGGCCGTAGTGGTTGATGGCAAAATCCAGTTTGGGAAGCTGCTGATTGGTAGAGAAATCTGCCGCCTCTCTAGCGTAGGAGAGCAAAGCCTTCTGGTCAACATTGGCCCTGGAGAGCAGCATTTCTGTGTCAGCATAATCCTATACAACAGTGTGGGGGGAAATAAATAAATTAATTAATTAAATACATTTTATTTAAAAAAAGAAAAAAATTACTATGACCAGGGTGTTTTGTGTTCTGTGTGTGTGTGTGGTTCAAGAAATCCCAACATTAAGGGGAAAAAATGTCCTCACAAAGATTGAAATTTCTGAAATCCATACTAAGTGATGTTTTTTGATGCTCAAAGTAATCATTATGTCTATGGAAAGTCCCCATAAAACAAGAAAACCCAACAGTCAAACAATATTCAGCACTGAGAACAATGTAATTAAGAAAGAGTCATAAGGTGGGTTTGATTTTTCAAAACATCGCTCAGTTGTCTGCAACTGTAGAGTGCCGCAAGGCATATAATTCAGTCATGAGTGGCTGTGGGTGTGGTAATGGGATATTTGAGAGGTCTTTTCCTCTTTGATTCATGTTGCTACGAGAGACTAGTACTTGTTTCTGCTAACAGCCAGGCTTTTTAAAACGGATGAGGACTCTCAGCGCTGACACTCATTTAAAATGGCTTTATTTTGAGCACCATTACAGTTTAGGCATAATCCTGACACATTAAATACAATAAAAGTGTTTTTTTTTCCCCCAGTGGGATACTGTAATGTATCCTGAAAAATGCAAAGTAAGCATGCTTCTCTTGAAACCTATCAAACTACATTAATTGGTGTCATTACTGTGCATCATTATATCGGTCGTATTGTGCAAAAGTTTATGTATGAGTGTGAGAGAGAGGGCTGGGATTGAGGTTCCTTGTTAATGATTTAACAAACTTGGCAGTACAGGGAACAGAGCAGAAGAGCTCATTGTGAATAAATGGGAACAGACTGTCTGCTCAAAGTAATGATTATTTACACTCAAATGCCCAAAAGCCTTCTGAAGACATAATTAAACACCTAGAACTTAAGCAGGATACGTACACTAAAATTCAAAACTTTTGGGTCAGTGAGATTTTTTAAATATTTTTTTTATATCAATTTAAAATAACTGGTTTCTATTTTCATATATCTTATTTTAATATGTAATTTATTCCTGTGATGGAATGCTGAATTTTCTTCAGTGTCACATGATCCTTCAGAAATCATTCTAATATGCTGATTTAGTGCTTAAGAAAAAATCTTATTATTCCCAATGATGAACAGTTGTGCTGCTTTTGTGTGTTCAGGATCCTTTAATGAATAGAAAGTTCGGTAACACTTTATTTTACGGTCTCGTTGTTAAATATGTTACATGTAGTTACTATAGTAATATATATATTTTGCATTCTTACATGCAACTAACTCTAAACCAAACCCTAATCCTAACCCTATAGTAAGTACATTACTTAAAATTACTATGTATAATTACAGTGTTACAATGACATCTTAAAATAAAGTGTAACTAAAAGTTCAAAAGGAGAGCATTTATTTGGAACAGAAATCTTATGTAACATAAATGCCTTTACCATCACATTCGATAAATTGAATGTGTACTTGCTGAATAAAACGTAATTGCTTTAAAAAAATCTTTCACCTAAGGGATTATTAGGAACACCATATTAATACTGTGTTTGACCCCCTTTCGCCTTCAGAACTGTCTTAATTCTACGTGGTATTGATTCAACAAGGTGCTGAAAGCATTCTTTAGAAATGTTGGCCCATATTGATAGGATAGCATCTTGCAGTTGATGGAGATTTGTGGGATGCACATCCAGGGCACGAAGCTCCCATTCCACCACAACCCAAAGATGCTCTATTGGGTTGAGATCTGGTGACTGTGGGGCCCATTTTATCACAGTGAGTGAACTCATGTCATGTTTAAGAAACCAATCAGAAATGATTCAAGCTTTGTGACATGGTGCATTATCCTGCTGGAAGTAGCCATCAGATGATGGGTAAATGGCCATAAAGGGATGGACATGGTCAGAAACAATGCTCAGGTAGGCCGTGGCATTTAAACGATGCCCAATTGGCATTAAGGGGCTGAAAGTGTGCCAAGAAAACATCCTCCACACCATTACACCACCACCACCACCACCAGCCTGCACAGTGGTAACAATGCATGATGGATCCATGTTCTCATTCTGTTTACGCCTAATTCTGACTCTTCGATCTGAATGTCTCAACAGAAATCTAGACTCATCAGACCGGGCAACATATTTCCAGTCTTCAACTGTCCAATTTTGGTGAGCTCTTGCAAATTGTAGCCTCTTTTTCCTATTTGTAGTGGAGATGAATGGTACCCGGTGGGATCTTCTGCTGTTGTAGCCCATCCGCCTCAAGGTTGTGCGTGTTGTGGCTTCACAAATGCTTTGCTGCATACCTCGGTTGTAACGAGTGGTTATTTCAAAAACTAAAGCCAGCTTAAGCCATTCCAAGATTTTATGTTTGGATAATTTATGTTTGTGCTACATACATCAAGTCATGTGCCTTGAGTCAAGGTGTGCTAGTACTTTTCTAGGGCACATAGAAAGGCAAACAGGAAGAGACTGAGATAAAGAGTGAGGGAAAAGTGAGAATAAAAGAGAGGAGATTAGTATAAAAACTGGCAAAAGTCAAACTCTTTGATCACTCACATGTAGAATGACGCCCTTCTCCAGCAGACTCTGCTTTTTGGCAGTCATTACAAAGTAGTGCGTGTCATCTTTATAGTAGACAATGTTTTCCAGGTCAATTCCTGTGGAGGCAAACCAACAGAGAAAAGGACAAAATAAGTGAGAGGGAGCAAGAGGGAGGGAGAGATTAAAGTCGAGATGTGACAGACAGCATGTCAACAGGGGAAAAGGGGACAGAGAGAAAGAGGAAGTTGTTTGCATCCGTTCGCTGATGTAATTATGTTCCATCTGTGGAGCAGATAATGCGCCCACTCCCTCAATCAACGGGAGAAAGAGAGAGAGGGATGACATTGATTATACAACTGAGAAAACAGCAATAAAAACTGCCCTCAACACAAAGCACATGGACAGATCATCAATAAATGTACCACAAAAGAGATGAATATATGTTCTAAAATGAGGAAGCAAAGTCCTCAGTTTTTCATGTGTTATGTGTCACCTTTTCATGGTTAAATAAACATTACATTACAAAAAAAGAAGCAAGACAATTTTATTTTGTATTTTTAAATAAATCCTAACAATGTAATTCATTTTCTATGTATTAAAACCAACCATAAATCTCATCAAGTTAGTGTTAAGCATTACATTACATTTACATTTATCTAAAACAATAACTAAAGGCTATACCAATATAAACAATATATGTTATTTGATGATGTCCATGTTATACTAAATGATGTTCAGCTATTCTTTTTAAAAGTCAACTTATTCAACTGATTTGCGAACGCACACACAAAAAAAGAGGTGGAATCATCACACAAACAAATTGTATCCAATCATAACCAATCAAATCCAAACATAGCACAATGTCCCATTTTGTAAAATTTGTGTCGTTTTATTTTTGTAAAATGGATAATTATTATTTTCTCATCTAATTTTTTTGAGGCATCGCCTCCCTTCCCTCCTTTGGGGAAACACCCCTGATATATCTTCAATAAGAGTGCTTGATTTACCTGTGGCTTCTCTAAGGTCCTGAAAGAACTTCTGGTTGAAGATGAAGGCAACTCCACTGATCTCTTCCACCTTTGCCTCTGCAGTTGTGTTGCGGTTAATGAAGTTTGCTGTTATAGCGATAGCCAGTTTGCCCCTGAACTCCTTCCTCCTGAACCCTGGACAGACAGGATAAACATTTATAAGAATTCACTTTTATTAATATCAGATTTTACAACTGTTAAATGTATTAGATCATTTCTCCTAAATAAGCAGAATGATTTAAATGCATCATTCATGGCCGCAGGATAAACCACGTGTGGCGGGTTACACGCCGAGGATTGTTCAAGTCCCTTAGCCTACACCACTAATTATTTTTTTCATGTCAAGACAAGAACCAAAGATCTAGAGAACATTCTCAATTTTCTAATTATATGAAGTGCTATTCTCACCTGACAGTGTGTTTCTCCTCCCATCAGCCCCAATTATGACATCAAACTCTAGCTCATTGACTGGATGTGTTCGGGGGTGTACCTCGGCTCTCCAGCCAATTCCTGAAAAACCAACAGCATGTTCAGCGATGACAGACAAGTCCTTTCTCCAAAAAAGACTCTAGCCCCTTTTCCACCAAAGCATTTTGAGAGCCGGTTCGGAGCAGGTGCCTGCGCGCGAACCAGTTCTTTGTGTTTCGACAGCCAAAGAACCGGTTCTCGGCCAGGAGAACTGGTTCCAAAGCGGCACCAACTCTTCGCTGGACTAGAACCGTTCTTTTACCACGTCATGCTTACATCGGGGATCTGGGGCGGGTTTAGATGTATTCTAAACATCTTTTCTGACCATAATAAAGGATCGCAAAGCCAAGAGAAACATTTGCAGAAACACGATGGAGTCCGCCTTTGTAATTGTTATGCTTGAAGTTAACGCAAGCGTTTCTATTTTTGTATTTTTTTTTTATTGAAGACATTATAAGCAAAGAAGAAAAGTCACAATATAGAACAAATAAATGGAAAGAAAAAAGACACACAGAAAAAATTACATATCAAACGAAAAGATTAAAAGACTTACATATTTAAATTGTTTTTAAAGCTTTCTTGGTATACGAGTTATACCAAGAGATAATCCGAAAGTAATGTTGTATTTGCAAGCGTTTCTAGCTAAGACGTATGGCGACGTACACAGTGACGTAACGACGTCGTTCCCTGGGCGCTCTAGTCAGTGGAAAAACAAATAGGTTCTGAAGCGGTTCGCAAGTTGAACCAACTCCGAACCAACTTTGAACCAGCACCAGTTCCGAACGAGTTCTTTTTTTGGTGGAAAAGGGGTAAAGTTGAGCCAACTCCGAACCAACTTTGAACCAGCACCAGTTCCAAACCAGTTCTTTTTTTGGTGGAAAATGGGTATCTGTTTCCATTCAGGATATGCCTAGGCTCTTTAGATCAAGCGGTATTTATATGGAAAAGGAAACAAATGAACAGAAAAGCTAAATTTCAGCATGGAAAGGACATAAGAAAGTGATCTTACTCTCATTCTCTTGGTCTTCTGGTGGCTCAATGAGGCCTTTGAACTCCACGTTGACGTGGATCTCGATGCCAAGAAGAAGAGCCACCTTCAAGAGCATCAGCTGCAATTGGCGAATACCTGGAGTAAGACAATTCAAAAACCGACTCAACAAGTGGACCAGACACTCTAGAGGAGTTTCTCTATTTGGATGCATCCCTTCTGCAAGGCAGTCAATCCAACAACACACACATCCAAGTGTTTTTTTCTTCTTGGGCAAAACTGTTTATCTTGCTGGCAAAGTTTAAAACCTTTGTTTTGGCAGGTTTTCCCCAACACATCCCACAATGATTCCATGAGGAGGCGGCTATTGAACGTCTAGGATGCATCAGCACACATTAGCATTTTCACCACACTTGGTATGAGTCCCTGAACACCTACGAAGGTGGTTTGAGTCTCCAAGGTGCAAAAATTCAATTACAAAAATAAATTAAAAAAAAATAAAAATCCCAAACCTTTTCAGGCATAGGCTAATCTTACTAAATAAGTCCTTCAGAGATTTAAATCTACATGTGCTGTAATGGGATCAGCTGTAATGGATGTCTTTACTGTAAAGGTTAATTTCTCTCTAAAAGAAAAATTTGTTTGAAATACTACTCACTGATATGGTCGATGGCTCCAGCACAAAACTTGCCATAGAACTTCTTGGCTCCAAGACCCCTCAGATCCTGAATGGTGTAAGGCCAAAGATGGAGCACATTGTTTCTGGAGAATGCATCCCTCTTCTCCAACAAAACCACCTTGGCTCCAAGGAAGCCCAGCTCTATGGCTGTACGTAAACCACATGGTCCAGCTCCAATGATCAGACACTAAGAAACAGAATCCACAAAGTATAAAAACCAAAACATCAAGCCACATATATTTCAATCTATTTTTAACCAAATTAGAACATTGAAAGTTTGAGAACTAGTAACCAAAACACTCCAGGGAAACTTTCATACCTTGGCGTTGGCACAGGCCCTTCCTTTTTTGTATTCTTTGTGGCTGGCGCGCTTGTCTAATTTGGCCCAGAGGGCTTTGGCTTTCCAGTAGTTGAGCTTGGACTTGAGTTTGTGGTAGAACACACGGTATTCATTGGGCTTGAGTTCCAGGAAGTCACAAAGCTCTTGAAAAGCCTTGAGAGTGCCTTTGAAGGTGGTGGCCTGGACGAAGCGGTCAAAGAGCACATGGGACTGATTCACCCCTTCTCCCACCGCATTGACGCCTCCATCTCCCATGGTCTCTTGACCCGATAAGCAAGGATTATGGGACAAGCCCCGTCCAGCTCGCACAGAGTCTGTCTTTTTTCGATTCAACTACCGCCATAGGCCATTTTTACCCTGAAAGAAGAAAAGATTTGTCAAACATTTTATGTGGAGATTGCTATGGCACACAAGGAAATGCACAGAACTTTGCAGAAGTAAAAATCGTTTTCATTGTCAATATTTTGGATAATTTTGATTGTGTCTTATGTTATGAATTTGAGTGAATCACTTGGTTTAACAGCTTACCATTTTAAAACAATTTCAGAAAACTTTCCCTAAAAATGAGTACAGAAATGAAATAAATCTGCAGATTGCATCTAGGCCTCCTTAATAGATCATGTTTCTGTCAACAAAAGGCAGTCCTCTACTAACTACAACAACTATATTTTGAAATCTTCAACCTAGCATAATCGTGCAAGACAACACATCATGGATTTAAAGGAGAACTCTGGAGCAAAATGAACTTTTGGTCTAATAAAACATTGGTACCTAGTCAACCATTCTCTGAAATTTGTTTTCATGATAACCGAATGTAAAGAGTTTTATCTGTAAAAACTGTTTAGCGTATAATAACGCTAGTAATGGGGGCATTTAATAAGTAAAAAGAAATCGCTAGTTTATACCACTAACAAGGCTCAAAATAGCCCCACATTAACACAGTAACATACGATTTATCGTGGTTCGATTTATCGAGACTGTTTTCCAAAGATGGCTTCTGTCTGTATACACGAAGTGAACAGTCTTTATAAAGTATCTTCTTATTAAACAGTCTGTATAATTACAGAGTTCTTAATGCTTTGTTTTGCATGTAGGGACCCTCATTATGTTACTATGTAAGTATGGGGCTATTTTGAGCCTTGTTAGTGGTATAAACTAGCGATTTCTTTTAACTTATTAAATGTCCCCATTACTAGCGTTATATGCTAAACAATTTTTACATTCGATTATCATGAAAACAAATCACAGACAACGGTTGACTAGGTACCAATGTTTTATTAGACCATAGGTCCATTTAGTTCTCCTTTAAGAGAAAGGAAGATATGGAAGCTTCCTTGTATTGTAACAGAAACAGAGATTACTAGTATACTATGATCTACATGAGGTGGTTAGCTATATCAGAGGACAGAACTATCTAGACTAACTCTAATTTTAGTTTCACTGATCTAAACGGAATAAGTGCTAAATGACATTTAGTGATAATTATCCTCTCTGCAAAAGAAGGAGAACTGCTTGATGATTAAGTTATACAAGTAAGCTCATTAAGATAACACTTTATGTTTCTACAGAGCAAGAATATTATATAGGGCCTAGGTATGATGCAGTTATGTAAAACATACTATGTAAAACAAGTCTATGAAACAGGTTTTAAATGTTAACACCTTTCACCAACAGAGTGGGCTGCCAAAAACCTTGCCTGGAAAATTTCACATAGCCTAAAGGACCTAGCAGCTCTAATAAAGACTTGGCATTAAAGAGCTGAAAATGCCCCCGTGCCCTTATCTGAGAGTCAGTTACCAGAGGAAGTCTGATGAACGCAAAGAAACCCAAACAGGAAATGCTGACCTTTTGGAAGTCTGTGCATTCTACTGTGAACAAGACACCCCATATATGATAAATAAACACACAGTACACCGCATTGCTGCAAAAAACTACTGCTGACACCATGTCCTACTCAGCTGTCAAATAATCTTGCATAGCCAAATTTTTATGAGTATGTTCCTCTTTAAAGATTATTCTGGTCAAGAACAGGCCATTCTTCAGATGAGAGGAGACCTCCTGATTCTGACGGACATGTAAAGCAAGCAACCAACAAAAGTTAATTTTGCACTTAAAGGAAAACCAGGCCTAGAAACGCCAATAACCAGGGATTTCGGCAATGTGCTAGTGTCCATGAACGTTTTCTGAAAGAAGAATAAGGGGTGGACACAATGTTAAAGTAAAACTTTCCAAGATACTCTAAAGACACGGAGAGAAAAGAATGCTGAGCAATCAAAAAAGACTGAGATACATAATCCAGACCCATTTAAAGAATCACATTCAGACTGTATTTCAATTGGGCAACTGAAAGTGACCACACAGCTAGCTGTCATTAACTGAAATAGAACATCTAAAATATCACAAATTTGCAGTTTCTCATGGCCAAGGACATGTACATGCATTCCACACGGCCCCATTTAAACAAACTCAGACTCACACAGACAGCTGAGGTGTGGTCTGGATGAAGGAAATCTCCACCTCACAGAAAGACGATGAAAGGGAAGGTAGGTGAAGGGTTAGTGTGAGGGCCCTTTCACTCGGTTCCAGCTCTAGTCTGCTGTGAAAACACACTCCTGACCTCACTGCTCTGAAACTGCTGTGCAAGCGGTCAGCACAACACTACTGTGTCAGTGTCACAAAGCCATGAGACGTGATGTAATGACATTGTCCTCATGTTTAAATTGTGAAATTTTATCTGACAATTGAATGTAATACAAAAAACTTGCAATTAAAAATAAAACCGTACCTGCACGGTGTTAGCTTAATATATTTAAAGGTCATTTACTAACAACAAGTAAGGTGTTATAATAAAATTTGACATTAAATAAATATATTCTATCTATCTATCTATCTATCTATCTATCTATCTATCTATATCTATCCATCCATCCATGTCTATCTATCCATCCATCCATCCATGTCTATCTATCTATCCATCCATCCATCCATCCATATATATACACACACACACACACACAGGATTTCAGTCTTTCACAGTTTTGAAGTATTTGAAGTCATGAAGTATTTCGTTCTTTCACTACACGTCAGGCTGTTGCATTGACTTTGAAAATTGGAAAGGCGTGTGAATACTGAGGCAGATGGATCTGGTAACCCGTTTCCGCTCTCCATAAACCTCTGACACGACACTAATGCTTCAAACGGACACACTTTTTTACACGGAAGCAGTCATGTAAACAAATACAATGCTGAAATACATTGATGTTCAAACTACAGCTCATTTAACAAAGATTGCTGAATGAAAGAAAAAAACCTTTTCTTTTGAAGGTGAGCAGAAATTGAACCTCATGATACAAAATATAGATTTTTTTTTTTTTTGTCCTCATGCGGCTTTACTTCTGTCGAGTGTCGGCCCCTGAAAGCCGAGAACCTCGGCACGTATATGATATCAGAAACCCTCAGCGGCAAAGCTTGGTTAACAAACACTGACTAACCTGTTTAAAGCCCTCAAGTAGTTACAAGTGAGGAGACTGACTCCTGAAGAGCATGGGAAAGAAGCTGGTTTCACATATAGGCTAGCCTACTACACGTGTACAAACACCACATGGTCACTCAAACATAAGACCCACAGAACCTGCATACTTTATTCACATTTTCTGTGTTGGTGGTGGAGGGAAAACCTTCAGAACTCTTTGGAATGGATTTACCATTATTTAAAAAATACAAGTGGCAAGGATGTGTAGGAATTTGAAAACAACAGTAGTTAAAATCATGAAGTAGTCCGCTGAGATTTTATGGAATTCCTAGCAGGACTAGCCATAAGCCGGGAAGGAAGCATGACCATGTGCGTGTAACTACAACCATACAAGTATTGTGAAACATGGGTCTAATTCTATGGAGATTATTTAATAGAGGCTGCATATTTTTTTTTTTTTTTTTTTTTTTTTTTGGCACTAGCCTAACGTGGAAGCATTGTTAATACTAATAGATTTAACAAAGTAATTTAAGTAAAATAAACACAAAACTAATGACACATTTTTGTTGACCACAACTGCAAAAATGAAATAGAATATGCATTTATTTGCATGAACTTTTATGACTTCATGACATTTCCATGTCATTTAAAATGGTTCATTTACCAATTTCAAAGTTTTACATGACCGTGAAAACACTGTAATATTTCCCCTAAAATCTTTGTTTTACATTTACGACTTGCTGACAACCCCAGAACATAAAAAAAAACAAATCCCACAAATGTAAATTCTGTTGTTCGTCACACTGACTCACGGGTTGATGTGAAGAGCCGGGTTACATAACTCTGCAAGGACCTATAACCACGTTAAAGCTGCAACATAACACAATTTTAACTCCCAGCATGCCTGAACACTTCCAAACAGGGCCTGCTATAATTGAACAGGTCTATATCCAGTATCTCTTTCACACAGGAAACGCCCACATTTCTGCCATGGTGTGACCTGTCACTATAGGTATATTACATTTCAGACACAGCTTACTGGCTCGTGGTGTTAATGATATAACCTAGCTGCTATGAATACACACTGAACTTCGTATGACATGGGGGGGGGGGGGATCTCTGAACTGCGGCCCAAACACGGCGCCCATCTCACGTTACACATCAAGATAATTTATAAAGGTTTTTTCGTCCATCGGCCCAACGCTGATGAGACAAAAGGCATACGGAAACAAACCGCAATCTGACTAAACCTATTCAACACAACAGCAAGACGACTGAATGAATAACCAATCAGATAAATATATAAACCCATCTTCACTCGTCTGTAACTGTACAGAGGGAATCCAAAGAAATGTGTTGACTCACAGTATGACTTCTAAAAAAATAAAATAAAATAAATAAAACGCTAGCATTATGCATTTTTTAACTTTATGGAGAGAGATTGTGACACACTCTGGGCTAAAAATAGACCATATTACATGTCTGAATGGACTGTACAAAAAGCTCTTTCCACACTTCTCTTCCTGTCGGAACCCCATATATTTCCAGTATGCTTCCTGTATGGACATGTGGATGGTAGACATGTCAGAGTTTTCGCTTAAAAATGATGGACTTCATACACAGATGACTGTATTAACTTCAGACAACAATTTCTAGCAAATCACACAAAAAAGCAATTTCTTAGCGCAGTATAAGAAAACAATTTAATATTTATTTTCCATTGTTAAAGATTATTACTATCCATGACTTTCATATGGAAATCACATTTAAAAATACAAAATGTCCATGGTCATCAAAAAAAAAAATGAAAATGATAAAAATGTGTGTGTCTATAAATATATATATATACACTCACCGGCCACTTTATTAGGTACCCCATGCTAGT